ACGTCGGTTCGCCTCCCCCCCCCCCCCCACGCCGTACGAAAAAAAAGAACAGCGATTCTCTGTCGTTGTCGCTGAATCGCTACGTTGCGTTGTCACGCGTCGCATCTTGTGCACTACTAAAATGGAAACGCGGTGTATAATATCGTGGGGTCTTAATTAACACGGATTTGATTTGCTTCTCTTCCCATTCTCCCCTTGCCTTTCCTGTTCCTGCCTTCGTTTAAACGCGCGCCGGTTGATTGGTTCGATCGGTATCTCGGCTGTTTCGGAATATTTATTTCTGCGGTTTACTAGACGCGACGGAATGCAATGGAAGTTCGAAAAAAATCGAATTCGTTTGTTCGTTCGTTCGTTTGTTTGTTTGTTTGTTTGTTTGTTGGATCGCTGATGGCAGGTGAGATCGCTTGGCTGTCGGAGATCGATCAGTTTCTGCCACGTGCCAAAGTGGTTTTTTCGTTATCCCGAGAGAGCATCGACTCGTTTTGCTCGGCCGTAGTCTTTCTTTTGTTCCTTCTTCTTCTTCTTCTTCTTCTTCTTCTTTTCTCTCGCCTGGAGCTCTACGCACTCTCGAGCGCGTTCAAGCGAAAAATGGAGAAAGAGCGTTGGTTAAAAAGCGCTGAAAACTCTTAAGAAAACGTACAAACGATCGTAGAAAGGTATTTTTTCTTTTTTTTTTTCTTTTTTTTTCTTTTTTTTTTTTTTCTCTTGGCCCGCGATCTCCGACGACGAAACCCCGATCGAGGGTGAAAGCTGTTGCCTTCGTTGAGTCAACAGCAGGTTTCTTTTTTTCTTTCTTCGTTTTTTTTTTTTTTTTTAACGGGGCGACGAAGGTCTGCCGATGGGAACCGAACGGAATTTCTCGAGCCAGTGTTTAATGTAGTATGTGCGTATGTGTGTGTGTGTGTATGTGTGTATGTGTGTTGCCGTATCACCACCGTTCCAGTTGAACATACAGAAACCACCCCCGCGTTTCGCATGTATCGTTCTAGAAAAGGAATCAGAATTTCATAACGATTACTCGATAATTCCACTTGTAGCGATACCGATATCAGCTACCTAGCTACCTACCTACGCTCTATTTTGGTATACCTCTAACAGCTACGACCGTCTAACAGAGTTAGTTTCTCAATCTAAATATCTTCCCGCCGTGTTCATTTTCCTCTTCATGTCGGTAGTAACAGTAGTTAGTAGTGTTGTAGTTGTATTTTAGTACTAGCATTAGTCGTAATAGTAATAGTAATAGCGTATAGTACTGGTATGTAATCGTAGCGGTAGTAGTAGTAGTAGTATCAGCAGTTGTAGCAATAGTTGTACTAGTAATAATAATAATAAACGATAGATAATTATAACAACGAAAATAATGACCACACTACTGTCGATAGTTGGTAACGATTTACAATAGTAGTAATAGTGGTAGTAATAGTAGTAGTTATAGTTGTAGTAGTATTAATAGTAGTAGCAGCAGCGGCAGCAGTAGAATAGCTCAGTAATAGTAATAGTAGTAGTGGTAGTAGTAGTAATAGTAGTATTAGTAATAGTAGTAGTAGTAGTAGTAGTAGTAGTAGTAGTAGTAGTAGTAGTAGTAGTAGTAGTAGTAGTAGTAGTAGTAGATAGTAGTTAGTAGTGATAGCAATAGTAATAGTAGTGGTAGTAGTAGTTAATAGTGATAGCTGTAGTGGTGGTAATAGTAATAGTAATAGTAGTAACAGTAGTGATAGGGATAGTAGTAGTAGTAATAGTAGCAAATAGTCGTCGTTTAGGTAGTAGATTACTCGTGACAGTTGAAGTTGCAGTAGTGACAGTACTTGCGATAGCGGTAGTAGCAGTAGTCGTAATAGTAGCAGTTGCAGTAGCAGTATTAATGGTAACAGTAGTAGTAGTAGTAGTGGTAGTAGTAGTAGTAGGAATAGTAATAGTAGTAGTTGTAGTAGTAGTAGTAGTAGTAGTAGTAGCAGTAGTAGTAGTAGTAGTAGTAGTAGTAGTAGTAGTAGTAGTAGTAATAGTAGTAGCAGTAGTAGTAGTAGTAGTAATAGTGATAGTAGTAGTAGTGGTAGTAGTAGTAGTAGTAATAGTAGTGGTAATTGGTTTGATTAATAGATCGATAACAGTAGTACTAATTTTTAATAGTAATAAATTTATCCTTCGCGCAATTATTTTGGATTTCTCTTCACTTGTTTGGATTTAGCTAGGCTGGTAATTTATTATAACGCGCGTCTTAAGATTTCCCTTTTTTTTCTCTCTCTCTCTCTCTCTAACTAAAGTAGCGAGGCGAAAAGTTCAAGTATCGTAATAAAGGCGCGGTAAACGTAAATCTCTGTATAATTATTGTTTCCTTTTTTTCTCTTCTTCTTTTTGAAATCTATCTCGCACTTGTTCTCGTACGTTACCAACCACTCGCTTTCACACACACACTCTTTCTCTCTCTCTCTCTCTCTCTCTCTCATGTACGGGACTTCGCTCACACGCACGCACATCCGCTTTCGGCACGCGCTCCTCGATTTTTTCCTTAAAAACTCACGCGCAATTACACACTCTCTCATTTTCTCTCGCCCCAAACTCGCGCTTCCTTCCTCCACCTTTCACGATCGATTTTTTTCTCGCATCTTGTGTGTCTAGCTCTTTGCTCGCTTCGTCTAATAAAAGATAGATGAAATTTATTCCTCGGTAAAACGCGTCTAATACCTAATAATAATTTCGAGTGAATGAAATCGCTTTTTTTTTTTCTTCTTGTTTGTTTGTTTGCTTACTTGCGTCCTATTACTTTGTTCATCGTCTTTTTTTGCTAGATCGCGCGGTACGATATACTTTATTCTTTTTTCTTTTCTTTTCGTTTTTGTTTTGTTTCACTTTTAATTTACATCTAATGCGTGTTCACTTTTTTGTGTTGCAACGTCAGACTGCATCCCTCATCGTAGTCGACTACTCCGTACAGAGATAAGTGCGGGTCGCGTTCTCGACTTCTCTCGAGGAGACGCCATTGGTTTATCGATTTAGAATCGATACGTCGTCTGTCGCCCCGTCAGCTGGTGGTACGTACGCACGTACAACGGCGGCCGGGAATGGCCCCCACCGAACACGGGGGGCAAAGTTACGCGTCGCAGTCGACTCGTCGCTGAAATGAACATTTTTCGTGTCTCGTCCTCGCGTTCGGTCGAACACCAACGGTATCGAAACGTCGAGACGTAGAGCGCGTTCTCTCGGAAGGGGAGGGAAACCAACGTGCAACGTACGCACGATAGAGTTTCGTCCGGTACGAATCGATTCTCAGACGTAACCCTGCTTGACGAGCGCGATGTGTCGCGACTCTCGTTGCAAAAAGAAAAAAAAAAAAAAAAAAAAAAAAAAATTAAAAAAAACTCGTAAACTCGGAAAA